TGACCATGTGCTGCAGCACATGGCACAGAAAGCCTTTCCCTAAATGTGTTGCCACACATGGGCCGTTCCCCTTTTAAAAATTCTTCTTCTTTCATTCTCGAGTGACCTGATTCTCTTTTGGACCCGCGTCTAAAGTTGAAATTGAAACCAAACATGCATGTTAGGCCTCTCAGCCACACACCTTACTAATACAATTAATTAATATGATTGAGCTTATTAAATCTAGTTTAAAAAATTAAGGATGTTACAGGCGGCACCATCATCGCCTATTGTACTCTAGTGACGCACAGCTAGAGCAAAGGGAGAAGAAGTTCAAATGCACCCATGCGATGTAAACCCACAGCGATGGATAAGGACAAAGATGAATGGAAAAGATCTAAACACAAAAAACACAACCACATGGACCAAAGAACCATAGTCGACATCGGCATTTTCAATTAGAGAATGAAAGAGCTTGAACGATGAACTCATGATAACTTCCTCTCATGTTGATGACCAACTAAGAACAGAGAAGAAGGAAAAAAAAAAAGACAGAGATGGCATAGGGTTCTTGGCTTCTACACTTTGTCTCTAGCATTTTGATAAGGCTTCTTTACTCTGTCTCTAGTGTTATAATCGAAGAGGAAAGAGGAAAAAATTATTAAGGTGAGGGTATAATTTTAATTTGATGAGATTGAAAAGAAAATAAAATGGGACTCAAATGCAAGACCCTACTGATAAGTTAGCTTAAACTCTACTAGAGCAACTCTCCTTTTTGGTAAATCTATACCCAAAAAAAAAAAACACACACCACCACACCACACAATCATTAAAATGTCTCACCATTAATTTTTTAATTTTAAATAAATTCTAGGTCATTATATTTGGATTATGGAAGAATAGGTTTTTAATTATACAAAAAATGTCCAAATTTAGATGTATGAAAAATTGTTCATGATATAATTAGAAATTAACTTGTAGATCTTATCAATTGAATGTTTTGTAATTTATGAATTTATTTTCGCTTTGTATAATTGAAATTTAAGATTTTTTACTTATTAATTAGTCAAAAAATATATATAAAAAATTTATGTTTATTTTGTTCATTAAAAATTTCAACTGGTTTTTAAATCAAATTATCCAAACAAATTTTAGTTTGTCTAACTGACTTCTAAAAAAAAGGTATTTAAACATAAATTGCGTTACATTAATTGACTTTTTCTTTGACCTCAGTTTACTAACCTCAGTTGAATCCTAACCTTTGTTACAAATTTTTTAATCGAACACATACTAAATCATCCAAGATCTTTGTCTCTTCTATTCCAGCTTGCCCAATAAGCTCATTATCATCCATTAACCTTAACTAACTTCATTTCAATTCCTCTAGGGTCATTAATGTCACTCAACAACCTCCAAAAAACTCACATTTGATATTAAATTTTTAGAAATAAATGCCCAACAAAACACCATAAACGTGTAAAATCTTCAATCATTAGTTTAAAATACTTAAATAACTCCCATGAACTCTATTGGCTTGTTGAATATTAGCCAATTATTTTGGCTCGTTGAATATTTTTCAAATACTTTGTGGCATGTGACACAGAGAGGCTCTTTCACGTTCTTTTAGCTCAATGAGTCACAGCTCATGATGCAAGCACCGTGGCATATGGCACAGAGACTTCTCTCTTTAGTTTCCACTACTTTTGATGCCTAAGTGACCCAATGTTACTTGAGACTTAAATTTATGGCTAAAATTACAATAAAAAACACTCATTAATCTTCTCTGACCCCACACTACACAAATCTTACTTAATTACTCTTGATTAGTCTAATTAATAGGAATTTAATTTTTAGGATGTTATAATTTTGATATGAGTATAAGAAAAGTCAAGATAAGAAAAGTGTTAAAACAAACCTATAGTTGTGTTTAAAAGAAATCTAGGAAGTAAAATAATGAATATAACTAAAAGGTTTACATGAGATAAGAGTGATTAAAGGATGCTCTATTCTAAATACAAAAAATAGAGAAAAATTCTTTAAGTTGATACAGGAAGAAAGTCTTTGGTACTGGTATGAATATGAAAATGTAAAAAGAAAGAGATCGAGTTTCATGCGTGTATGAATCAATTTATGCCAAAGTAAATACTATAAAAGACAATGTTTGGATAAATTTGATATGGGTGTGAAGTTTCATAGGGGTATGAAACTCCATATGGGTATGAATCACACTGTATCGGTATGAAACAAGGATTATTGAGACATGGTTCATTACGGTATGAGAAATAGATTAGGGTTTCAAATAGATGATACCAATATAAAATTATTGAAAGAATAAAAAAACATTTTCATATTGACATGTCCTTGGGGATAGGGGTATAAGACCCTTGATATTGGTATAAAGTAGTTCATTCCAGTATGAACAAGAAAACTCAGCATAAAAATTTAATATATTTTAAGCACAAAATGGCCTTGTTCAAAGAAAGTTTAGATAAATCAAATACTTATCTTAAAGCTTATATGTGTGTGAGAGAGAGAGAGAGAGAGAGAGAGAGAGAAGTAAGGATATAGTTAGGATAAGAACAAGAGATTTAAGCTTATAGTCCAAACTTTGTTAAGTTTTCAAATACACATAATCATATGCAAAATAAACACCTTTCTATATCAACATGAAGTGAATCAACCTATGTATGCTACATTCAAGAGAAAGAAGAATCAAGAGAAGAAAGAAAAGCTTTTGTAGCTTATATCTGTTTTAATTTTTCTTTTAGATAATTTATGAAAACTAATTATGAGCTTAAACATGAATTAAAGTAAGATTTTATCCATGCAAGGACAAGATATGTTCACTTGTGTTTGACACACATTTGCAAGATTGCATCATATAAAAAGTCACAAGCTCATAAGTCCTTTAGGCTAAAATTCTATCCACACAAGGACAAGATATGCCCATGCATGTTTGACACATATTTGCATACACTTATGATTCATATTTTCCATCCATAATTGGACTGTAGGTATCTCACGTGTGTTTGATCATTCTTTATGTATATAGAACTTAGAGGATCTCATTCAATTTTAATCAAGGATATTTTTTTATAAAACTAAAAATTAAATATTAACTATATTTGGTTTCAATATAATTGAGATAATATTTACATACATATAATTTCTTAAATAAGAAGTTAAGATCCTATTTATTTCATCTCACTCAATCTTTTAAATTTATTCCTTCTCAAAAATATGTTTTGAAATTAAATCCTCAAAATTTATTTTAGTGTTTTGAATAAATTCTCCTCTCACAAATAATTACGTAGTAAATTCAAATTACCATGAAATAATTTCTTCTTAATATTAATTAACTACTAAAACTTAAGATGTTACGATTATTTTTCAAGCCCAATTGTCTTAAACTATTTTAAATGCAACCTTATCCTATCCTTAAACCCAAAATAATTGCAAGAGACTTCTCAAGGAGGAGGATGTTACATATTATAAGGATTCCAAAACCATCCTAAAGAAAAAGCCTTGGCCTTTTATCCTGTGTTGTCTGAACAAGTGTTTTTTTATATATTTTTTTCTATTGCTTATGTCATTTTGCCTTGTAATTATCTGGCTTATCTTACCTATTTAATACAAGGCAATATTCAGCTTCTATTCTATGAGTAGTATTGTGTTTGATTATTATAAGTTTAAGAAGGAGACAGAATCTCTCTCAAGACTAACAATTTGCATCAAGTATTATCATCATCAAAAAAGGAAAAAAATGTTAAACCTTGATTTTGATAATCACAAAATGAGAGAACATTTTATTTGATATGAAAATTTAAAAAGGGATTAACGGGTAATAAGAGTACTTGGCTTAATTCACTTTATTTCTGACTAAAGGTTTCCTGTTTCTATATGAATCCATTATACCAAAATAGCCAAGAAACTCTAAGTGTCTTAAATTAAGTTAAATTTGATTTTCTTTTCTTTTCAAAATTTAAGTATCTGACTTAACTTTGATTTCTTTGTGGACCAATTTCATGTTTTTGAAGTCTTTTAGAAGGTTTTATCTCTTATTCCATATCAAATTAATCTAAAAGCTTATGTAAAAATGGTTCTTTATACCGATACAAGCATAGCTATGCCAATATAAGTGTCCCTTATTTGATTGTCTTCTATGTTATTCCTATATAAGCCTCCTTATTCCTATATAATAATCTTTGGTTATGCCAATATAATGGCTCATTTCTCTATATTCTCTCTCAATCTTTTTATCTCATTATTCAGGAATAGCGATCCATGTTTTGGTAAAATTCTCTTATTCTTGCATAATCTTCTTATATGGGCATGACTTGTGTTATTCATGTATAATCTCTTTATTCCCATATAACATCTCATAAATCATTATCTTTTACAAAGATTTATTCCAATGTAATTAAATTATTTCGAAATAGCAAAGACTGTGCAAATTCATTAAATGTTCTTAACTATACCAGTATAGCTAACTTTATTCTAGTATAAACATCAAGATTCTTGCTCTATTTTTCATATTCGTCATCATAATCTTCAAAACTCATCTTATACTCACTCCTTTCACTTTCTGAGAGTTATATTTGCTCTATAATCATCCTAGAAACATTTTAAACATAACTACAGTAGGATTAAACTCTTATTGATTCTTTCATTATTCTTATACACATATAGCATTTGTTCTTTTGGTATAAACCTCACCTACCTTCTGTTAGAATATTAAATACAAAGAGCCATTACTTTCTTTACTTGTGAGAGAAAAACTCCGTTGTAAAGCATTATGTCATCTCCTCATTTTCGGATAAACTCAGAGGAAAGAAGATGAAGTGTCTAATGGCTATTTACTTGTGTCTAACAGATCATTTATGAAGATAATGAGTAAATGAATGACCAAGTTAACACACATGAGCATATCCATTTACTTGTTCACCAACCTTTTACTATGATATTCAATACAAGTAAGCTTCATTGATTGTAAACTTAAGGGTATAGGTATAATACACGGTTGTAATTGATCATATAATTATTTACATGTGTAATCAATAAATCAACTCATTAAAACTAAAAATGATAAGTATTCTAAAAACGCATAATTTTAAAGCAAGCCAAGTATGAATAAAATGTCTATAAAAACATTAACAAAGATTGCTTCTAGCGGAATGATCTATAATTGCTTAAGCACGAGATCTTGAGTTCGAGTTTGTAGAAATGTAGAAAGCATCTTTAGAAGAGTTGTCTTCAGTTGGGCCTAAAATACTTGAATATGTCTTAGTCAAATAGCCATATGAAAACATGTCAATAACAACTTATAAATAAAATACTTCCTTTCATCTTATTTCAAAGGGAGAATGACAAATAAATCTCTCTAAAATAGGGAAATTATAATTTGGTGAGAACTAGGCGTTTTGTCATTTTACCAATAACTTTAATGACAATTAGGTCCCTTGGGACTTAGAAGACATTATCATATTTTAGGGGATCAAATTATTATTTTTCTATTTTGGATATATTTATTTGTCATTCTTCCTAATCCAAAACATCATAAGACTGAAAAAAATGAAAATATATCACATTGTTACAAACATCTATGGTGATTTTCTTCTATCTTTCCTTGAAAACCAAATAAAATGTCCTATTTTACTATCAAAATTTAAAGTGAAAGTGTAAAGCGATCATAGACTCATGAGTGTGTATGCCCAAGTACAAAACACATATTATATTGTATTTTTTGTCTCCTTGAAAAACCATTATTAGCATAGACTTAACATTGAAGTCTGACATTGGCAAGTTACTTAGACACCTATGAATGCTCTGCATTGCGATTCCCAGTACTCTTTTATTTGCTTAACTCTTTCTATCCTCTCTGTTTGAAGCCTTTGTTCCCAATATTCCTGACAACTGTTAAGATATACAAATAAAGCCATGCAATAATTGCAATCAAATTAACAAAGACAATTTACAAGAGCTTATTCTTTTCTTGCCCTTTGCTGTTTGCGCCACCTTACATTTTAACTAATCCTACAATTTTGAAGTACATTCTTGATAACCCACTCCTCTATTTTTCTCATATTGTCCAAGGAAAAGAATGACTATAAATGAAGTGAAACCATACCTTCTGCCTAACAAGATATTCAGTTCTTCCAAGCGTATAGCACCTTGATAAACTCCTCCCTACAATAAAAGAAAAAAATAGAACTTTGAATGTTGCTAATAGTCCAATATAATAATTATGACAATTCAAGGATAGGAAAAGAAAAATATAATTATGACTTTAGTGTTCATTTTATGGTTGAATCTAAAGATTAAATCCAAAAATGACAAAAAAAATATTCCAAAAATAAGAAAAGAGAAAATACCACTACATTCCTCTATACTTTTATGTTATGTTTGGATATATAGGAATTTAGATTTAAATTTACATTTGAGCTAAATTCATTGTTTGGGTAATTAAAAATATATGAATTTGAATTTGACCTAAATTCAAATTTAAGTTTTACCTTAACTTTTTTATACTTTGAAATCTTTTCTAAACCTATATTATTTCAAATCATACCATAATCTATTTGCAATTTGACTAGTTTGTTGGCAGTGCTAAATAAACCAAATTATTGGTGACAACTTAGACTAGACCTCTACCGCCAATAAGGACCAGACAAAATTGGTACCAATCGAGAATAGATGGCCAACTTTCACCAAGACCAAATCGCTGATAATGACCGAGACTGGAGTGCAGGAAATGACTAGGACAGGATGATAGACTTTCACCAAGACCGGAGTGCAAGTAATTACCAAGATTGAATAGTCAACTTTTATAGGAATCGGCTGCCGATATTGACTGGGACAAGACCATTAGCACCAACTAGGATAGGATTGCTAGTGCCGACCAAGACTAAATAGCCTCTTGCAATTGATATCAGATGACTGGATCCCACTGTGACCGAGACTGATAACTTCAATTGAGACTGGACTAGCGACCTCGACTAGGACTAAACTATTGGTGCCAACCAAGATTGGAGTCCAGGAGAAGAATAGGATCGAATGGCTAACTTCCATTGAAATCATATCACCGACAATGATCGAGACAGGAGTGTAGGCAATAATCGAGACCAAAGTGTAGGCAATAACAAGGATCGGACTACCAACTTCCACTGAGACCAAACCACCTACACCAACATGAACAGGACTGCTGGCGCCAATCAAGATAAGACTACCAATATTGACCAGGATTTGATGGTCAGCTCCCACCATGACCAAGACCAGATCGACAACCTCAACTAAGAATTGATTACTGACGGTCTGGTACTAGTTGGCACCGGTGGTTTAGTCCCAATGTCAAATCAGGTCACAACATGATCCAACCATTTGATCCTTATCACAAGTAGTTATCGAATCCCAATTAGTGCAACAGTTTTGTCCTAGTCAACTCCAACAATCCTTCCCCTATAGGTGTCGGTGGTTAGGTTTCGATGGAAGCTAGCTGTTTGATCCCTGTCTTCTCCTTTACTCTGGTCTCAATTAATGCCGGCAGTCCTCTCCTCATTAATTTTAGTAATCAAGACTCGATCGGTGCTAACAATCCAGTCTTGATGGAAGTTGGCCTTCTGGTCCTAGTTGTCACCGACGGTATAATCCTAGTGGAAGTCTGCCATTTGATCCCAATAAGTGTTAGCGGTTCGATCTTAGTAGAGTAAGTTGTCTAGATTATTGACTTTAACTAGGACTGGACTACTGACGTTGTCCAAGTTGTTTTTAAATTTAAAAATAGAATTTAAAATTTTTAATTTTACTTGAGATCTAATCAAAGAATTTTAATATTATAATTTAAAATTTTTTATATCATCCAAATAAAGAACTTAACATTTGTAAATTTTAAATGTGAGGTTTGAAATATGAAATTTCAAATTCAAATTTTCAACCCAAATTCACCCATCCAAATATAATATTATTGTATTTTGTTTCAGTCCTTGTATAGTTGATTTTGTTTTTCCTCATCCCATATATTTGATTCGTTTGCAATGTTATTCTTCTAATTTGAAAAATATCTATGAGGATAATGAGCAGGCCTGAGTGATTTTTATTTTGATGATAATTACTTAATACTATTAAATTATGTGATAATTTGGAAGAGGCAGTTTAATCTACTAAATTGTGAACTATAAATTATGAACTATGTTAAGCCCAACCTTCAAAAAGATACCAAATTAAATACTCATGTTATATGTTTGGCCTTTGTAGTTTTCATTTAGTTAAAACTCAATCCATGAACTTAGATTCGGTGCAACCCAGTCTTTATATTTTTGATTCGGTTAAAACTTAATATTTAAACTTTGACTTTTGCAACCCAATCCTTATAGTTTTATTTATTTAAAATGTTGGTTTTTACAATTTATAAAATAACATTATAAGGAATAAAGTTATTATTAAAGTTTAGAGACTAATATTTTAAATGATTAAAATTAGAATAACTAAGTTGTACCAGGTTGAAGTTTAGGAAATGAATTATAACTGAATCAAACTTTAAGAATTAATTTATAACAACAACAAGCCTTTATCCCACTAGGTGGGGTCGGCTACATGAATTGCAAGACACCATTGTGCTCTATCATTTATCAAGCTTTTAGAAATATTATTAATTAAGAGATTGCATTCAATAACTTTCAAGAGTGTTCTCTTAGGCCTTCCTCTACCTCTCTTAATCGGACTCAAAGTTATATGTTCCACTCTTCTCACTGGTGCCTCCCTTGGTCTTCTTTGTACATACCCAAACCATCTCAACTGATTTTCTATCATTTTTTCCTCAATAGGTGCTACCCTCATTTTTTCGCGTATGTGCTCATTTTGAATTTTATCTTTACATGTACGTCCGCACATCCATCGTAACATTCTCATCTCTACTACTCCAACTTTATGCTCTTGCTGTCCCGTTAGAGTCCAGCATTCACTACTATATAACATTGCCTGTCTGATAGCAGTGCGATAAAACTTTCCTTTAAGTTTATTAGGCACCTTACGGTCGTAAATAACTCCTTTAGCTTTTCTCTAATTAAACCACCCAGCTTGAATTCTATATGAAATATCTCCACTGATTTCGCCATCATTTTGAATAATGGCTCCCAAATATCTAAATTTTTCCACTTGAGGTATAATTTAATCTCTCAATTTTACTTCCAAATTATTGTCGAATAGTCCTTTACCAAATTTACAATATAAATATTCTATCTTACTTCTACTCAAATAAAAACCTTTCGACTCCAATGTCCTACTTCATAACTCAAGTTTGCAATTAACCTCTTCTCTTGTCTCTGCTATAAGAATTATATCATCCGCGAAGAGCATACAATTCAGAATTTCCCCTTGAATATGTTCCGTCAAAACATTTAAGATCAAGTTGAACAAATAAGGACTCAGAGATGATCCCTGATGTAGTTAAATCTTTATAGGAAAATCCTTTGTTTGACCACTAGGCGTTCTTATACTAGTTTTTACCCCCTTATACATATCTTGTATGGCTTTAATATAAGCAATCCATACTCCTTTTTTTTCTAACACTTTCCAAAGCACTTCTCTTGGTATACGGTCATAAGCTTTTTCCAAATCAATAAAAACCATGTGTAGATCTTTATCTTTACAACGATACTTTTTCATTAATCCCATTAGTAGATAAATTGCCTCTGTAGTTGATCTACCTGGCATAAAACCAAACTGATTCTCAGAAATACTTGTATGCAATCTCAACCTGTGCTCAATTACTTTCTCCCACAATTTCATTGTGTGGCTCATAAGCTTAATCCCTCTATAGTTAGTACAATTTTGAATATCTTCTTTATTTTTATAAATAGGAATTAATGTACTTCTCCTCCACTCATCAGGCATTTTCTTGGACCGTAAAATCACATTAAATAACTTAGTTAACCATCTCACTCCTTCTTCACCTAAACATTTTCACGCTTCGATAGATATACAATTAGGTCCGTTGGCTCTACCATTTGCCATTTTCTTAAGAGCTTCTTTTACCTCCTTATCACGTATTATTCGATAGAATGACAAATTTTGTTCTCCTTCTCCAGTTACTAAATCCTCCAAGTTACTAGACGAACCCTCTCCATCATTGAAAAGTTTAGAAAAGTAAGTCTCCCATCTATTTTTTATTTCATCATCTGTAACTAAAGTTCTTCCCTCTTCATCCTTAATACACCTTACCTGTTTTAGATCTCTTGATTTTCTTTCCCTACTCTTGGCAATCTTATAAATATTTTGCTCTCCTTCCTTCATCTCAAGGCTCTTATAAAATTCTTCAAAAGTTTTAGAACGAGCTTCACCCACAGCTCTCTTAATTTCCTTCTTAGCCATACGGTACCTCTCCCAATTTTCCTCATTGTTACACAAATGTATGGCTTTAAAACAGTTCTTCTTATACTTGATTTTGTCCTGTACACTATTATTCCATCACCAAGACTCCGTATCTCTCGGACCAGAACCTTTTGATTCTCCCAAAACTACTTTTGCAACCTCCCGTATCTTTTTAGCCATATCCTCCCACATGATGTTAGCACTTTCCTGAGATTCCCAAATTCCTTTATCTAAAAGATTTCACTTAAAAATATCTTGCTTCTCACCTTTTAATTGCCACCACCTAATCCTTGGTGCTACTACTTGTCGACGTTTATAGATTTTACTCATAATACACACATCAAGGACTAGGACCCTATGTTGTGTCGTTACAGCATCTCCGGGGATCACCTTGCAATTTTTACAAAGTCTTCTATCTGTGTTCCTAACTAAAAGAAAATCAATCTGTGACCTTGAGGCTCCACTTTTGTAAGTGATGAGATGCTCATCTTTCTTCTTGAAACAAGTGTTGGCAATCTTAAAATCATACGCCAATGAGAAATCAAGAAGAGTTTGTCCTTCATTGTTTAGCTTTCCAAAACCAAAACCACCATGTACCCTCGCATACTGACCAGTTTCCCTCCCGACATGCCCATTAAAGCCTCCTCCAATAAAAATCTTTTCACTCTGTGGTATGTGTCGAATCAACCCCTCCAGATCCTCCCAAAATAATTCCTTAAGATTGGCTTCTGTCCCGACTTGCGGCGCATAAGCGCTAACAATATTAACACTCTCACGTCCAATTATCATTTTTAAGGAAATAATTCTATCTCCAATTCTGCTAACTTCTACAACGTTCTTCTTCCACTCCTTATCTATAATAATGCCTACTCCATTACATGCACTTACTTTTCCTGTATACCAAAGTTTGAAACCTTGAATATCCTTAGCTTCTTTTCCATGCCATTTTGTTTCTTGCAGGCAAAGGATATTGATTTTTTTTTGAATCATAACCCCTACAACCTCTACAGATTTACAATTCAATGTCCCAACATTCCAAGTACCAAATCTAATTTTACTCTCATGGACTAACTTCTTTAGCCGTGTGCGTCCAGAATGACGCGGTAGCCCTTGTTCATTTAACATTACATCCAGGTGCCGATGCAGCGGCTCTAACTCACTTATCACTGTACTCGAGCCATGCAGTGCGTTACTTACAGGCAACAACCTAGCATTAACATTATAACGTCTATTGTCCATGTTCATGATAGATTCAACAAAGTTTTCCATTGGCTGTTGATGGCTTAACACAACCCTCCTCCTTTACCCGGGCTTGGGACCGGCTATAAACATAGACGGAGTTTTAAGAATTAATTTATAACTAATTAAAATTCAAGAATTGAGTTATAAACAAGTCAAAGTCAAAAAAGTATAGGGATAAAGAATTAAGTTTTCCTAAACTTAATTAGCATTAGGAGATAATTATCTTTTGGACTGCATGGGTTGATTTTTTTTTTTTGGGTCATGTTTTAAGTTGGCGTGTTTTTAATGGGTAATTGATGAATTAGCAAGAATTGATCTTATGGTTGGTTAGCTTGGACTCTCTTTTACAGGACTTTTGCAATGGTTTGGGTTTACACCTAGTAAGTATGAAGGGCAGAGGTTCTCTTCACTCATTTAAGCAGGTCAAGATCTGAGTATTAATGATGATCATCCAATCCAAGACATCATTTCTCATTTTAAACAGGAACTGGTTTGCTACCATTAATTTTGTTTATAGGAATGTTGTTAGCATTGCTCATGGACTAGCTAGAAAAGCTCATTTTACTAAGGGCTCCTTTTATATCATTGATCATCCACTACCTTGGTTAGCTGAAAGGGGTCGACAATGAATGATTTTCTTGGCTCTCTTTTTATTATCCATTGCTAGATCCTTTCTTGTCTGATTATTAATGCATTTCAATTTTCACTCAGGAAAAAAAAAAGATCTGAGTATTTGAAAAAGGTAAATCACTTTTGGATTTCTGATTTTGACTGCATCAGAGGGGTGGTTGATTTGCGATGGTTACCTCCTGGCTTTGTGACATTGATGAGCAAATTGTTCAGGTAGGCGAGGCTTGGAGCCAAGTCTATGTGCTTGGCATGTTCAGGCTTTCTAAAAATTTTAGTAGAGACCATGATAGAAATTTTGAAATAAAGGCAGATTTGAGAAATTCAAGACGTGCGGTAAGGATGGTGAAGGGTTGGAAATGGCTAGAATTGAATCATCTTTTACAAGATCTTCACCTCTGAAATTAGTATCATCCTTCTATATCTATTCACAATCTCGTTTTGAGTAACTGAATGCCCTGCTTTGGTATAATCTCTTGGTATATTTTGATGTTTGTTGGTTGGTTTCATCCCTTAACTTTGAATTTGGGCTGGTGCAGATAAAGGTGCACTAGGTAACTATTAGGTCATGTTTGGTACATTAGAATTGGGTCCAAGAGAAATGGAATTGGAATTGGAATCATGTTTTCACTTGTTTGGTATGCATGAATCCAATTCCTTATGGATTCCAATTCAACCAAAATACCTAGAATTTAATTCCATCTTCATCATGATGGAATTGCCACAATTCCATGGAATTGCCACAAGTGCCCCACATACACACTCCATCATGATAGTTGAGTTTTTTATTTTTTTTATAAGGGCATTTTGGTCTTTATCTATTTTAAATACATATATTTATTAATATTATATTCAGATTCCATCTTCATACCAAACATACATTTATAACTCAATTCTATTCTGATTCCAATTCCGATTCCAATTCCAATTCCGATTCCGATTCCATCAAAAACTCTTCCATCATACCAAACGAGGCCTTACTTCTTGTTAGGGATCTGATTCTGTTTGCCATTTTTTTTTTAATTTGGAAGTTTGCTTGAATTGGTTGCCTCTCCATGATCAATAGGAGGATTGTCTAAATGATTGTTGAGGATAAGGGATGGGTTCTACCAGGTGCTTGCTTAAAATTTCTCAATAGCTATGGTGAAATCTAGGTTTCATGGGCTTCTATTAATAAGCAAAGGTCTAATGCGGTAATCATTTTGATGATGCCTGAATCATTTCCTTTGGTTGAAGTTGTTAAATGTTAAGTAGTGGCAAAGCCGTGATCTTATATCCAGCGGTTCATTTAAATGTTAATAATTGAAAAAATAATAAATAAAAATTATTAAAAATTGCATATCTTATAAATTTTCTCCATGTGGTTTTATATTTTGAGATCTTTGAACAATCAACACATTATCAAAGCCATTAAATAACATTTTTCTCTTCTAAATATACTATTTCTCTTTCCTTCTTTCTTTCTGTTATTATTTCTTAATTCAACTTTTAATTGTAGACTTACAAGTGCAACGAGCTTGTGAGAGGCATTCAACAAGCTTACTTTTGAGTCTTGAATTTTCATTCTTCATTACTCTTTTTCTTACTAGTATTTGTAACAAGGACAATGTAGGTCTAGTTTAGTTAAATTAATTTTTTTCCTATATTTTTAAAAGAATTGACAAATAATATTGGTATTTAAGTATGGTGAAATAATTGGCTAATATTCAACAGGGGTTAAAATGTTGAATCTTGAATTTAGGATAAAAAGTAAGATTAAAATGGATTTAAAGTTTAAATATTAAAATAAAGGGTTGTAAAATATAAGAAGGAAAAGGTGTAAACTGTAAAATATGAAAACCAATACTCCTTTACATATCATTTTTTTCAAGTGAAAATAACATGTGGCTCTTGGTGGAGCTTTGTTGCCACTGCTCATCCATTATGGATTTTATCTTTTGAGTAGGTCCAAAGAAGTTTTTCCCAGGCTACAACTTGTATTGTTTGAGTTATGGTTACAGAGATGTGCTCTTAAAATTAGATTTCCAAGTCTCCATCCTGTTATGTCCTGCATTGGAAGAATTTGAGAAAAATTCTAACTATATAAGTGGGTGTAATGGGTTAACCTTTAAAGAGGGAGTAATGATTTCGTGAGTATCCGCTCAAGTTCCTTTCCTGAATCAGGATCACAAAGTATTTGGGATGCTACTTTTGGATTTACTTCTTGTTATGTCTAAATTGTGTTCTACATTGTTTTTCTTGGTATGAGCATGTAATATATGTGTGAAGTTTCTAATTAAAAAAATATAATTTTAAATCTCTACACTTTATTCAAATTTTATTATAAGTTTTTGTAATTTTTTTTTTGTATTCTAACTCTCTACACTTTTATTTTTTGGTGATTTAGGTCCTTTCATGAGGGATATTATAAGAAATTAGAACACTGAAAAAAATTTAGAGATTTATAATAAAACTCGAGCAAAATATAAAGATCTAAATTTATGCCTTCCCTTTCTAATTTAATAAATAAATAGCATTTTTCGGCGCCAAAAAAGCATGGGCCGGGTTTTATATATATATATATATAAAAGACATATGGACTCACCACCCGGCATAGGGGACACTTTGCTGCAGAGTTCGATGCCTTGAGCCCATCAACAATAGCTACTGATGCAGATGAACAAGCGCACGTGTAGCAGAAGATATGGCCACAAGTTAGACAAACCGGATCAAAAACAGTGTCCTGCGTCACTCGCAAGCCAGATTAATATTATCAGTGAAAGATGAAATTTAAAATGAAAAAAACATGGCCTCTTGTTAGAGAGCAGGAAAATTATATCGATCAAAAAAATATTAAACAGTTAAACTTTTAATAAAAAAAATTGGAAACCATAGTAAGGAAATATATACATATTAAAACACATCTTGAATAATTGTAAGAGAAAATTACATTTAGGTCTGACAAAATAAAATTTATTATTCAGAAGTTTCATAAATTTTACAAAATACTTTCAAATCCTATGTATTGATAACTTGACTAAGGTCATTGATAATTAAACACCAGTCATTTATAACTTGTAAAGAAAATGGCGATTAGCAAATTGTAAATGATCATCGTTCAATTGTCAAATACTCTTAGTCAAATTGTCAATACACAGGATTTGAGATCTAAAAGTATTTTATTAAATTTATAAAACCTCTCAGTAATAAACTTTCTCCTGTGAAGCTTGAATGTAATGTTTTCTAATTGTAACAAGGTCATGGGAGAAGATAATGAGTAAATAAAATTTTGGTTCTATGACATGATCATATTAAACAGGTGTAACCTCGGAGTGTGTGATATTACAACTTACAACAAGCACGTGATATTCACATAAAAAAAAAGAAAAAGAAAAAAGAGCAGTAATGAATGGGAAATCCCAAAGCAACTTACCAAGCATATAGAACAAGTCAATTCAATATCAAGTTTGGTGGAATCAAAGTGCTCAAAAGTAAGCGATGGTTTATTATCCTTAAATGTAAGGTAGTATCCATCAAAGGAATTATTAGATTCCTTGTTCATTGATTCGCTCTTGGCTTCCCTTAAATTGATGTGGAAGGCCATGAGTTCTAAAAGCCAGGGACTCCGAAGAATTTCCACGTGCATACTCTGGGCTCTTGACTTGAATAATTGCCCTTGCTTCGAATAATGAATCTGCACTCACAGTCAACATATGAGTGTGCGCGCGCGCTAGTGAATGTGATTCTATTTACAAGATGCTTGAGACATTTTCCACGCGCTTTTAAGAAAGATTTATATACATACATACATACATACATATATATATATATATATATATTATTAACAAAATTTTAGATTATGAGTTGGGTATTAAAACCTCACTAAAGCCAATACATATATCTCCAAACTTAAAGAATATTTATAAATATACTTACATATCTTTATTCAAACATTAACCTTCAAATAAAGTCTAAAATAAGGGTCAAATAAGCTTATTTTTATGGTAGTTATCCATCAATAAAGTTTTTTCATTAGGAAGAGGATTTGAATGCATGGCCTTATGACTAAATATGAGTTAAATCCAAGCCAACTAAACTAACATTTGTTGATAGAAAAGTTATTATATTATATTTACTTTATTTGTTAAAAATATATCTCAACACTCTAATTATACACTTATTGATTAAAGGAAGACAATGTACCATTTTATTATTTGTGCAAATGCTTTCTCAATTTAAAGGGTAAGACTTGAAAACTATTTTATCTTTTTATTAGACACCTTATAATTTGGATGACTTTTTGTTTTTGTAAAATGCCTAATAAATAAAACAAAATTAGTATATTTATGAAGAGCATCAATCAAAGTTATCAAGTTATCAAGTTATTATTGTACATAGATATGTAAAAAAAGACTCAAAACAATTACTTTGTCCTTATTAAATGTCTTGTGCTTTGGTGTTTCTTTACTAATTAATAGGGATGGAAATAGGTCATCAGGCCCTTATCAAGCAGCCTAGAGTGACCTAGTTAGGCCTAAGGCTTGTTTAGAATTTTAGATCTATTTAGGCCTAAGGCCTAACTGAACAATTTCTTTATAATTTAACTAAACAACAATTTCCTAATAAGTGGAATTCATGATATCTACTTTTTAAAATTTTAAATAAATTAAATAATTTCAATTAAGTTCCTTAATGACTTAATCTATGTGAAGTTATGAAACAGTCCCTATTAAATAAGGACGGAAGGAGAGTATTAAAACATGATATCTTAATGAGCACTATATATATATATAAATATGAAGGATTAATTGTTAATGGAGTACAATAACACCACACATAATGCATGTAGCTTATCATATTTTTGAAAAGTGTAGCCTAATGAAAAGGAGGATTTGTGTACCTTATCGTATTTTTCGAGTATCTTGTGAATTACAGTGGAAGTGATTAGGGCGTAAGTAACAAGATCTTTGCCTTCTTGAATGTGGTCAATATGTTGTTGTCCACATAATTTGGTTTTGAAGGATAGAAAGTACTTCTTGAAGCTAGAAGCACGATGAAGCTCAATCAATTTCCGGGCTCGATCGTTAAAGTAAGCCACTACTTCACTCATCCCATTGAGAAGAGAAGGAAAGAAGGAGCTTCCATCACACACTGCACATATATATATAGTAAGATACTCAATAATCAATTAGCTTTATTGTCAAATTAATCATGCATATATGAAACATAAGCCTTCTTTTCCCTTAAATTGGATCATCAGATATTTCATTATAAATTAAAGGGTACAATACTAAAATGCATTTCTAAAACCAGAAGTAAGCTAGATTTTAATAACCATGATAGAAATTAAATCAATCCAGAACAAGAAAAAAAGGCAAACAATCAGAATAAAAACCAAATCAAAATCAAAAGATCATACACCATATCAATAAGAACAAAACCAAAACTATTAAAATCAGAATCAACATCAAAATATAATTACAGCACAAGGAATTAAAAAAATAATGGATTGAGAACATGGAGTAAATCAACGCAGAAGATGAAGAAAACTTGAAGAAGAAGGAAGAATCTTGAGCAAAAATCAGAACACATTGAAAAACTCTCCCACTTGTTCAGATCCAATAATATGGACATTCCTATGAGTCTCTTTTATTTGTATATATAGTAACGATACACCTTTTTGTCTCCTGGGTTATTGAACTAGATAGGGATATATGCTTGTCTTAAACCAACAACGAATTCCTTTCAATGAAGCACTCGAAATTAATTAAAACGAGATCCCTATGCTATGAAAAAAGGGGGGAAGAAAATAGGAGATCCCTAGTCTTGCGTGTGAAAAATTGATACAAGGGAGAATGACAGTTTCGAGACCAAATATGAATTTGATTTCAACGAAAAACCAACGATTCTGAAATTTCAATAGAAGACCAACGATATTCGTATATTGTAAGAACATGGGCCAAATCACTATAACAGATTCACTGCAAATGCTAAAGCGAGATATAGGAAATTAAAGATGAAGGCAGCAGAAAGAAATCATTAGATAAATGTGTGTTTGTGTGTTAGGTAGAGGTATTGCCTGGGCAACGATCGGTGCACTTTGGGACTGCAAGGGCTTCTTCTTCTTCTCCTCCTCCTCCTCCGGTGATGCCTTTCCGGCAAGGACAATCTCTGCGACATGTTTTCAAGATAGTCTTGAGCTTATTGATATCAACTTCAGGAAGCTTCTTCTCCTGCTGGCTTTGCATGTAGTCATTGTATTTCTTGCAGTACAACTTCGTCATCTTTCATCAGAAAACTTTCTTCTGCTGATCTTCTCTGCAATTTCAGGTCCTTCAATGTTTCAATGATCGAGATTTGACTCTTCAAGCCGAAGGTTAATGATGATGATAATAATAATAATAACATATGTGTGAGAGAGAGGGAGTAGAGAGAGAAGCAAGGCTGTGTGAGAAAGGCACATGCATTTTTGAAGGCAAGTGTTCAAGGCACATGCACCCATTAGGGAATTAGTTTCCCTAGTCATTCTAAGGATGACCATTCAGATTTTCAAATTTAAAATATTATTATATATTATATTTATTTAAATAAATATTTATAAAAATTATAAAATAATTTTAATGAATTTTTTATTTTTAATTCAGGCTAGATTTAATTTAGAGCGTCCAATTTAATATTAAAATTTTTATAATTGATATATATTGATTATCTAAATATATTCTACACAGTTCATGATTGTATAGAATACATTTGAATAATTAATATATATCAAATATAAAAATTTTAATATTATATTGGACCCTCTAGATTAAATCTAAACTATATTAAAAATAAAAAAATTTAATAAAATTATTTTATAATTTTTATAAATTTTTTTAATAAATATAATATATAATAATATTTTATTAAATAATTGAATAGTTCAAATCTCATTTTAAGAACGAGGACATGGTGCTCATATTTGGGATCAGCATGGAAAGTTGGAAACCCACCTATTAACACTGTGGTTGTTTTTATTCTATCTTATTTTATTCAAGAAGTTGACTTTAACAAAAAAAGATCAGTTGTATAATTGATTTTTATTTTGTCAGATGTATATATTATTATGTGTAGTAGTTAAGACACTGTCAAAACTGTACGGCATTGATATTTTAAAATTAATTATGAGTTATTTTTTAACGATGATGATGATTTCATCCATGACAAACGCGAGGAATTTAAGGAAAAAAAAGGTGAAGCGAGGATCTGGATTCAGACATTATTGGCGATTGGCAAATATAATAAAAACTTGGCCCTTTTTTTGGGGGGGGGGGTGTGGGGATTTCATTAAATTAACGATACTGTAGGTAATTCTTGTCCAATCAGATCCAATAAACTCTGAAAATACACTACAGAGTATAAGCACCTAACTGAAATTATCTTTCTTTGCAAAGTGACCGAAATTAAAGTCCAAATAATGTTCAAAGAAAGAATTTTCTGATAACATACAAGAGAAGCCGTTTTTGAGACAAGTTTTTTCATGACTTGCACGAAGACATCATCAGAGGCTACTTCGAGTTGCTGTCAGTGGCAGAGCCACATATGCTTAAGTGGGTGCAAATGCACCCCTTCACTTTAAAAAAAAAATTATAAATAAAATGTAAAAAATTTACAACTTTGCACCCCTCCCATTTTTAATATTTTGCACTCTCTCAATTAAATAAAAAATATTTAAACTCAAAAAATTATTAAATATATAATATTTTAATTATTTATATAAAATATAAAGTGTATATTTACAATAAATAATCATATCAATTTGTTCAATATAATTTTTTAAAATAAAAATAATGATAAAATTATTTATGTTATTATAATCTTTTCCTAGCATAATTATTATTTTTTAAAAATATTAATTTTTTATTAAATTATTCCACATCCCTCACTATAGATCCTGGCTTTATCATTGGTTGCTGTGATTCTTGTTCGGCAACCAAAGTGAGAGGTGATTGAGGATGCTTTGGAGGTATGCAATGCTCGACTGGACCAGAATCATAGGAAACCTTTCTTCCTCGACCACTACAATGGGATGCGATTCTCATCTTCGTCCTATCCTGCTATGTGACTGTATGCTGCTGCTGTGGGATCGTTTTCTCCTGAATCAAGTTATCGTACTGTGGGGCATGGGTATCTATGGAATGTTTTTTTTAAGTAAATTTTCTATAATGTTTGATGTTAAAATTGCAAAATAGATGGGTGGGTGAATGTTCTTCTAGAAATTTATGATTTTAAGTTGTGATGTCCAGAATAATTGTATGTTGTGTTGTAAAATGATTAATGTTATATTGTGAATATGGTAATAATTGTAGTCGTGAATTTGTTAACTTGGTCCAATGCTAATAAGGTAATTGAAGTGAACAGGGTTCGTCTCTTTGAATCTGCCAATCTGGTTGCAGTTTATTCTTTTCCTCTGTCCGTCGACCATGCAAGGGCAAGAGCTAATGTGTCTTGCATAACTCTGCCATGACTCCTTTTGTTTCAAAAATAACATCTTTGAGAAGATAACATCTTTGAGAAGTAATGTTAAACATTTATCAAGTAATATTATTTGTTTAACAAGTAATGTTACGAAATTTACAGTTTAATATAATAACTTGACAAGAAGCCTATGATGATGCCTTCATACGGGTCGGGGGAAAACTTCTCACAAAAATGGCTTCGCTTGTATGTTATTATTGAGAGCTTTTTTTTTTTCTATTTATTTAAACACATGGGCTTTTTGGTCATTTCATAAAGAAAGATAATTTCAATTAGGTGTTAATATCCTGCAGTCACTATTATAAAAAAAAGGCTTTTTGAAACACTTATTTTTTGTCTTTGCAAGCACTTTAATAGTATTTCTGTAACTAGTACTCCTATATGTATGAAAGTGCTTTCTAAGCGCTCTTGTAGGTGTGGCTTACGAAAGCACATCTAGAAAAAAGCACTCTCTTAAGCATCCCAACAAAGAACACAAATTGAGTTTAAGGGAGGATTACCATAGTGCTTCTTCCAAAAGTACTATCGCATGCAGCTTTGTACTAGCACTTTTCTCAAGAAGTACTCTCATATGTAGTTTAATTTTTTTTTAAAGAAAATCCCCCTTAATCAAACTCATTTGTATATAAATTTTAATAAATTTTATCATAAACCATTGTTCAAAATAATAATAACACAATTTAAACACTAAAAATGATAAATTTATTAAACATTTTAAAATTATAAATCATTACAAACTAGTCAAAATTCAATCACCACTTGGAATGATACAATGTAAAATTTTAAAAATTTCCTAAGCATAATAGATTACATCCCTCAAGCTAGTATGGTACCATAAACACAGATGACTTCCCTCTCTACTCATACTCCTTCAATAGCATTTTGTTCCTTTGTGAAACCAAAACTAAGATAAGTTCACAAAAGCAAGACACAACAGGAAAAAAAAAAAATAGGGCAATGAGTGATAAGTTCACAAAGGCAAGATACAACAGAAAAAAAATAAGACACTGAGTGATGATTTCTCATGTTCATATTTGATATAAATTAGCAAATGAAATGTTTATTAAATTCACAAAAAAATCACTCCGAACAAGTAATCTACAAGCATCCTTCATGATAATATTTGACAAAACTTTACAATAAAAATAAAATAGGAAAATAGTTAGAAAGCAATTACCTTCTCAATGCATAATTTCACAATTAGATAGACACACGTCCATCACCTTGAAAATAAATATTATAAAAAATAAAATAATAAGGGAGATTGACATTCATAATTTGGCTATATGGCCTTTGTTCACGGGTATGAAAATACTTATACTTTAATACTGTTGCTAGCATTAATTAATCAAAATGTTGGAATCAAGTTGTAATTAGTTAAAGTTCTTTATAAATATGGGCAGTAGAATTGAGGCGTGGGATAACTCCCAAAAACTTTTAACTCCCACAAAAACTTATCCTTCTAGCCAGGTTTAAGGGAATAGCAAAATAAAATGGCCTATCAGTGAAAGAGATGAATCTATAAAGTGGGACTAAGGGAGCATTTCCTTGACAAAGAGCATACATATTTGGCAAACTACTAAACATTCAGTTGTTGATTTGTCAGGAGGGACATAATTCATAGAAGAACAAGCTCTGCAACAAACTGCACTCCATACTGGAACAAGAAAATATCAAATTAAACAAAACTAAGCTAAAATTCCATAAATCTTTGGATGAAGATGTCAATGAATAAAAACTGCTTCGATTGTTAGCCCATCATTGAAACCGTCACCAGCTTGTAAATAACATATGCAACCGCAAGAGTACACATAAGGGTAGAAGGAGAACGGTCAATAGCAGCACAAGAGATCAACGGCGACTCAGCTTCTATTGGACGATGACTCCTACTTGGTGAACTGTGCTTCGTGCTCGACAGTACCCAGATCTAGTTTTACAGATCTAGAATGGCGCTTCATGTTCGAGCTACAATGGCCAAGATCAATGACGAAACAGCTGCGGGTTCAATACGGTGGCTCTCGACGATGGTTTCTGGTCTGCAATGCTGGAGGAGATGGGTTCGTGGGGTTGGGGACTGGCTGGAGGTGGGAGGAATAGAGAGGAAGAGAGATCGTGAAGGTGGGGGTTAGGGGAGCCCAAACAGATCTGATCTTTCATATCTGTTTTAATTTCTTTTTGGTGGTTACAGAGCGCATCCAGGTGGAAGCGCTCTAAAAACGGGCACCTTCAAAAGCACTCCATGTGGAGTGCTCCAAAAGGACTTGCCTTCAATTGGGTATAATTTTTTAAAAATAAATTATTAACATTTAATATTGTAAAATTACTTTTATTAAATAATTAATATATTAATGATAAAAATAATTTCAAATAATTAAATAATAGTTAAAATAGTATTTTAAATAATAATTAAATTAAATATTAAATTTATAATAAATTTACAAAATTAATATTAATTAATTGGCTAAAAGTACAATAATAAATAAAATTATAATATAATATTTCATAAATTATTTTATTAATATATAAATTAATTATAATACTTAAGGTAATAATAAAATTAATAAATAATAACTTAATTAATAGTTGAATGACTAATAAATCAAATTATTTAAAAAGTATCATAACATATTACTCTTCTGGAGCGCTTTCAGTAGAAGTGCTCTGGAAGCTTATCTAATATTTGAAAAGAAGCACTCTAAAAGTTTTTACACTATTTGAAAATATTTATTTTAAATATTTTGAAATGCTTTTAAGGAAAGCTCTCTGGAAGATCTAACATTTCGAAGCACTTTTTTTACATGCACTTCGATATGTGTCCGTCTCATTTTTTCAAAGCTTTTTTTATAAACACTTTGATATGGGTCCAATAGGCTTATATATATATATATATATATATATAGTAGTGAGTGCATTTTATAGTTTATTAGGTCTAACTGAAAAATA